AGTTCTTTTAATTTTCCAAATTGATTTTCTCCCCCACAAAATAGCTGTTATCCAGTTTTTCAAAAGTGCCATGAAATTAAAGAGATTTATAAATTAAAATGTCTAACATGTAGGGAGTGAATTTTCAAAGTGTTTATTGTTGATTTTGGAATTAGTTTAGATTTGCCAAATTCATCTTATGACGACTATTACATATGTGATTATTTGAACAAGTATTGTTCAACTCAGTATAGAGAATGTTACTGCTATGAGAACTGGATGGTAAAGGACTTGCTAAGTCAGTAACTCTGCCTGATACTGTATCTGTACCATGATACTTCTGAAAAAAAAAATTTGTTAAAGGTGCAATGTTGTAAGTCAAAAACTTCAGGGACAGAGTTGTCTTTTAGAAGGAGGTAAAACTTACTCAAATGGCCTTTAATATCATTTCTGTGTTTATATTATAACATAGTTGGTAAAGGAACTTGCTAAGTAACATTGTTGCAAGAAGTAGACTCTCAAATGCTCATTATCAGTTCTTTCACCAACTGTTGGGGTGGTCTTGACAAGTTTGTAAGATTCTGTTTTACCCATGTTTTCCCCGATAATCACACTTTTACCTTTTGGAAGGCTTGCAGATACATTTGTCCTGAGGCATTTAAGCCTAGGCATTCCTGTGCTGGGTACCTTGGCTCCTTCTCAGGAGTGGCTGTATTTCAGAGAGTAGACATGTCTTTTCACAGTAATCAGTGATAAAGTCACCCTTCACCCATCAGTGTTTGAGCATTGGAATTCATAGGTCTCCATACTTTGTGGGAAATGCTCTCACATTACTATATCTGAACTGTGCCCAACATATAATTTCCAGAAGAAAACATGGTCTTCATTGCTTTATTGAGTACAAAGCTGAATTTAAAGGGCCCAACTTAGGATCTATTTCTACCTCTATTAGTTAAATTATTTTTGTTTGAGCTTTGCCTTCCTTCAGCAAATGGAATAGCATGACTTTCTGTAGAAAGTGGTCATAAATGTTAAATGAGGTAACAGAGGCAAAGTGCTGCTAGGTTGCCTATGAGTTTTATGTGTACACTGTCCCTGTCCCATCTGTCTTCTCTATCTAGCTTTTCCCAGCAGCCGCCTTTCCGTTCTTCCATTCTTCTTTCTTCTTCCTCCTTCTCTGCTTCCTCTTCTCTCTTATATATTCCTTTCAGTCAACTAATAGAATTGTATTATCACTCAATTTCAGATTGAGTAAAGAAAAATTTATTTAAATAGGTTTATTTTCTTCTACAAGTCCTTTCAGTACATGACTGATTTGAATCCTGTTTGGGTGATTACAGAGCACCTTAATCATAGGATTAGTTATAGCAACTTATTCCTTGTGCATTAAGTACAACTAATGCCACCTTCTTCCAATAGTTAATCTCAGAAAGCTAAGTAGGTACCATATATAATAATATAAGCTGCTTTATAGTTAAAACTTGGTTCAGGAAAATGAGCCAAAAATAAATTACCCTTACTTTATTTTTAAGGGTAATGATTAGTTTGATTAGAGAAAAGTCCACAATGGTTTCATGATATTTTGTTGGCTCTCTTGAATGTGGGTTCTTTGGAATTGTTTTCTAAGCAAAGATTTCATTTCTTGTTCCAAAGGGAAGATAACAGTTTCTTTCAATGGACATTATTAAAATGGGCTATTGATTACTGGCATCTACAAAAGATCTGAGCACATTGTAATTTACTGGAGAAAGAGGTTTAGGTTTTTATCATGCGTCAGTAAAGGTATTCCAGAATCTATCTTGACAAGATAATTAGGTAAAATCGCACATGAATTGTAGGCGCAGAAATATGTGGGTGGATAAGAAGAAAGCAATGTTGAGAAAGCCTAGATTCAGAATTAAACCAAACACAGATGAGCTAAATAAACTGCTGTGATTTAGTTGTCTATTTTGTAGATGAGTCTATCCTCAATACTCTGTTTCTTGGGGTGTTAGGAATGAAGTGTGAGAGAACTCTTTAGAATATTGCTGCTGGGGGTGGGGGAGGGAGAGAGAGGAGAGAGGAGAGAGGAGAGAGGAGAGAGAGAGAGAGAGAGAAGAGGAGAGGAGAGAGAGAGAGAGAGAGAGAGAGGGAGAGAGAGAGAGAGAGAGAGAGAGAGAGCGCTAATATCTCTGTTAGAGTTGTCCTGTTTTTAAAGTGGTCGTTAGTGTGGGTACTTGACCTTCAGGACGCTGTGGTTGCTGTATGATGTGGTGAACAAGCATACACTGAGTCCAGATGGTTCAGAATGATACTTTCTCATCTATAAATGGTAATTGCCCAGCTTTAACTTAGTAGTATGGTAATCAACATAATGAATCCTATTTTTTTTCCTTCCTCTATTCTGTACCTGTTCTCTTTGCAAATCAGTGTCAATATGAATCATCTTAATGGGGTTACACAGTTTTATTATTTACTTCCTCAGTGCATTGTTCTCTATCCCCATTTTACAAATTATGAACGAACATGAGAAATTTTGCTGTCACTTGCCTATACTGTGTGCATAGTGTCTTTTAGTAAATGCACTTTAAGTAATGACAGCATCAGGAACATTTTCTGACCAGCCAGCCATTTATAATTCACTCTTTCTTATACAGCTGGTACTTTTTTGTCATTTTATTGTAATCCTTTTGTTCATTATTTCTGTTTAATCTTTTCATTTTTGTTGTAGTTTTGAGATGGGGTCTCATTATGTAGCTGCAGCTGGCCTGAACTCACTATGCAGACCAGGCTGGCCTTGGACTCAAGAGACCCACTTGCTTCTGCTTCTGTCTCTGTCTCTGCCTCTGCCCCTCTGCCCCTCTGCCTCTGCCCCTTCCCTTGCCTTTGTCCCGTGTCAAGATGAAAGGCATGTGCTATACCATGCACAGTACCCTTTGTCCTCTCTTATAGTGTCAAACTCAAGTACTTCTTTCATACAGTCTTGTGTGATTGTTTTTTTTTACCCTCTCTGAAGTCATAGCTTTGAGTGACCCTACTCTTAATTGGGATACATACAGTTTTGAGGCCTTGGTCAGCCCATGCTTTTGTTTTACATCATTATTTAACTCTCAGTGCTTAGAACTCAGATAGATTCTCAAATATAGATGAAAGTTTGTAGATTTTGCTGTCCTTCCCAGAGCAAGGGAAGTGTAGAGAGCACCCGGTTGTTCTGCATACTCACCTGTCTATTTATTGTAAATAATAAATAGGCATGTGTTGAACACTTCCTCGGTATCACAACTGAGCTTTGTATTAAGCAACTAAAGATAAAGGAGATGTAATATAATCCACACCATCAAGAGAACAAAGTCCAGTGAGGGAGACATAGGGTAATCAGTAGTTAGTGTGTTTTAAGTTCGATAGTAGAAGGGGACTCAGCATATCCTAGTTGCTCAAAAGGGGCAACCAAAGAAATTTTCATGAAATGGGGATATATCATAGGTCGGTATTTTTTGTAAAGGTTTGAACTGTGTCTTAGGAAACAAAAAAGATTCCTTATGAAGTTAAAGTAAAAAGACTTTTTTAAAAAAAATTGCTTGATATTTTGATGTTGTAGAGTATTCCTTTTATCCTGAGTATTATTACACTTATTAAAGTTTTAAAACACAATTTATGTTAACTTTATCTATAAAAATAAAACGTATACCTATTGCTAGTTTCTTTAAAAAAAAAAAAAAAAAAAAGTCAAACCCAGAAAACAGGGCTTTGTTTTTCAGACAGAAGTGCTGCTTTCAAAGGCTATGAAATCTAACTCAGGTTTACCAAGACCTCACTTATGTCTCCCAGGCATTTTCTCTGCTGCTATGGGGGTCCTTGAAACAGACCCTTGCTGTTAGTGTGGTGTAGGCTGCATGAAGTACCTTACAATTGGAGAATATGAGACTTGCCCTGTCCAGGGCCATGGAATTTCATTAGACCCAAGGCTACCTTCCAGGGAGAACAAAACTAAAATTAAGTTCATGTTGCTCCCCAGACAAACATTTAAGTTAGTATAAAAGGACATTTAAATTAGTACAAAAATATTAACATATATTTTTATTCAAGAAATATTCCTATAGATACTTTAATTGAAAGTATAACTTTTCTTTCCTATTTTAATTTTGTTTGAATATGGCATAAAATTGAAGTTCATTGAGTATCAGTAGCACTCTGCAATGTAAGACATACCTGCATAGCTGTTATTTTCTTTCTTTCCTGACTTCTTTTTTTAAAATTTATTTATTTTTTATGTATATGAGTGTATTGTCTGCATGTATGTAAGTGCACCCATGTCATGCAGTGCTCTTGGAGGCCAGAAGGGGACATCAAATTCACTGGAACTGGAGTTATAGACAGCTGTTAGCCACCATGTGGGTGCTGGGAATTGAACCTGGGTCCTCAGCCAATGCTCTTAACCACTGAGCCATATCTCCAGCCCCTCCTGACTTCTTATTTAAAAGTGCATTTATTTATTTGTTTGTTTTGCATGTGTGTTGAGACCATAAACAATTTAGACTAGAAGCTTCAGGTATGGCTTAGCTGCCTGGTTGGCAAGCATCAAAAATTCTTGAAACTTCAAGGATTTCTGTTTCTCAGGTTCTCTGAATCCACCTGAGATACTGTGTGAAAATCACATAGTATGAGAGTAGACACCTGACTCTTGTCCCTTTCTCTTTACATAAACTGCCTAGGTCTTTTGGCTAATAGAAGGGTCCTACTAGAAGTAGCCTTTCTGGGCCAGCAAGTGGCTCAGCAGGTAAAAGCGTTTTCCACAAGCCTAATGGCCTGAGTTTGATCCTCAAGACCCATCATGAAAGGAGAAAATCACCAACTCTGAAAAGTTGTCCTCTGACTTCCACATGTGCACTATGACAAGCACATGCCTCCCCCCATATCTCACAAACGCAATAATAATAAGTAAAATGTTTAAAAAGAAGTAGCTTTTCTTCCAAAGTTTAAAGATCATGTTGTTTATTAAATGAACAAAATCTTAACTCAGACTCTCTGGCTCTTGATTTCAGTTTGTCCACTGGAGAAATTGAAAAGCGAGCCCAAACTCTTCATCTCTTTAACACTTTGAAGACAGATCCTGAATCCTTTCATAAGCGCATGGTCAAGTATATCTACCCCACCATTGCTGGCCTTGACCATGAAAGACTACTGTATTATTTCTCTCTCCTGGAAAACTATGGCTGTGTGGACTTGGAGAAAGCTGTCATTAAGCCAGAAACCCACATTAGGCTTCTGAAGAAGTTTAAAGTAGTTGCGTCAGGTAATACATGCATATCTTGCTTCTAACTCTCTTTCTGAATTAAATCTAGGGGTTAATTTTCTGGTCATAACTTCATTTATGGTAATTGACATAGACCTGAAACTATAGAATTTTGAAGGGAATTGACTTAAGTTATTGTCTAATTCCTTTACTTGTAGTTGAGGGAATTTAATATCAGAAATAGTGAGAAACCTATTAAAATGCACTGTGACTTCTAGTAGACCTGCTCCTAAAAATCTGTCTTGGTTCACTGCTCCACTGGTTTTCTCCCACTCTCATTTGTCATTTTCTGTGTATAAAGATGGCATGATTGGGGCACTCATCCTTAGACCTCAGGCATTTTGGCAGAATTTCTAAAAAGTAGAGCCTATCTTTTTAAAATATTCATGGGACATATAAAATAAGAACCATTGGAGCTTGATGAATATTAGAAATCTTTAGAATGGTATCCTTGTGCTTGTAAGTATGGAATTAAATGTGCGTTAATACTCCTAAATCTCTCTATGATGCTTTATAATTTACAGAGCATGTTTAAGTCTCTATTCATTTTGTGTTTCTGGCAATTGTGAGTGTGCTTTAGGCTACCAGTTGTTTACTGGGTGGTAAGGATTAACATGCAGCAACTGCAAGCTCAGTAGCAAATAAACATAGGGCAAATTGGTGAATATACAGAAAGAAGATAGCATAGGTGCTGTGGGGGGCAGAGGAGGCAAGGACACAGTGCACATGCAAATAGGAGGCTCATGTACGTTGAATGACATAGAATTGTATGGCATAGGTTCAGTCTGAGACTAGAAGTCAGATGTCAGATCTTCTGATGAAAACCTAAAGCGTATGGTATAAATGGCTATCTTTTCATTCAGCCACGCAGAGCACTTGTGGGTGTGTTTGAAAGTACCTGTATGTTTCCATTTCAGTGAGACACCTCTTTTCTTTCTCTATCCTTTTTGATAGGTCTGAATTATAAGAAGTTGATAGATGAAAACATGGACCCTCTGGAAGTGCTGGAGCCAGTGCTGTCAAGTCAGAATGTCTTATCTATTTCCAAACTTGCTCTCAAAATCCCTAGCAGGGATGGGCAGATGCTTTCCCCAAGCTCTCTGTATACCATCTGGTTGCAGAAATTGTTTTGGACTGGAGACCCCAACCTCATCAAGCAGGCTCCAGAGTCCTTCCCAGAGTGGCTTCATGCCTATGATGTCTGTCTGAAGTACTTTGATCGCCTTTGCCCTAGTGACCTCATCATTGTTTTGGATGCCATTACATTTTCTCCAAAAGCTGTGACCAAGGTAATGGGGAATAATAATTCAAAGTACTAAGTAGAAGTAAAAATTACCTTTATATTTGACATATTTGTTTTCATCTTCTTTCTTTCATTAAAACATTGTATGTGTATGAGTGTTTAAGTGCACTCACAAGTGCAATGCCTGTGAAGACCAGAAAAAGGCATGGGATCTGCAGGAACTGGACTTAGGTATGATTGTTAGCTGTCACGCGGGTGCTGGGAAACAGACCCTGAGTCCTCTGCAAGAGTAGATAGTGCTCTTAACTGCTTTTCTTCTTTTAAAATCACATTTTTATTTGTTGTGTGGGGATGGGTGAGGAGCATGTGCTTCATCACATGTGGAGGTCAGAGGACAACTTGTGGAAATCAGTTCTCTCCTTCTACCAACCAGGTGGGTCCCAGGGATGGAACTCAGGTTGTCAGATTTGACAGCAGATGCTTTTTCCAACCTAGTCATCTTGGCCTTGAATTTTCTTTCTTGAAGTGGAAATTATCACATATTTGACTTTTCTCTTTTACTAAGCTTAATTGAGAAATTGTTTTCTCTTGTTACAAATGCACAAATAATAAAAATCAGAAATGCATCCTCTAATTTACATGTGTATTTTGCACATCATAGTTTTCATGAGTATGTCACAGTAAATACAGCAGCCTTTTTTTTAGGTGAAGAAAAAGGGATCCCCATTGCTTACCTTTAATTATCTTTACTCAGAACCCAGGCCAGCACCTTACTTTGACTGTGGTTGAGCCCTTAAAATTTTTATATGATGGAGTATAGGACATGGTGATGGGATTGTCTATGGGAAGGCATATTAGATTTTCCAGTGTTCTATGTTCAGGTTTGAACCCTTTCACTCCATTCTGAGACTTGTTCTCAGTCCCTCATCAATATTTAGCTTCTCAAAATAGATGATATGGCTTCTTTTTCCTTTTTGCCCTCTGACCCAGATGTTCTGCTAAGCAAATGTCAGGTGCTCACTGCTTGGGACCAGGGCATCTTGTTTCTTGGAAAATCTCTTAGCTTCTGCAGTGGCTACAAAACTCTGTTGCCTTTGAAATTCCTCTGTTTCCTCCTCTAACCCATGGTTGTTACCTTCTCCTTCCTGGAAGTTAGCAGGTATACTCAATACCTTATTCAAAATGTTCTGTTGTGGTTAATATTGTCCTGTTACATTATAGCATAGGTGCAGAGAGCTTCAAAGTATGCATGTGAATTTGGCACAGGTGAAGGTTCAAACCTCTAGAGAATGCCAGGTTTTAGCCAACTCATTAGACTTGGAGTTGGGGGTAACCAGGAGCTTCTTCATTTTCTTCTTATAATCCAAGTGATTTGAATAATAACTTGCTTTTATTTATTTTTATACAGCCATTGCTGCAAAAAGGGATCAGTCACTGTTTTAAAGAAGGATATTAAGGATGGTTTTAAAGGAAAGATAGTATGATAATACTTGAAAAGAGCTTAAGTATTTAATAATATTAACCTGCCTTTGAGCTCTGAACTTGTCACTCCTCAGCTATGTGGTATAGCCTGAGAACCTGCTCTGTCTCCTCCAGAGGAGGTTAGAATAACCTGTGGGTGAATAATCTGTGAGGATGATGTGATGTTAGAGGCAAAGCAAAGCTAGTGTTGAAGCCACAGTTGAAGCTGAAGGAGACTAACGCATGGCCTTTTCTAGCCATTGAACTACACTACCTCAAGGAATTTATAGGACAGGTCAGTGGAGCTAAGAGTCCTGGAGCCAGTCCAGAAACTGAAGAAGAGGATTGGGACCAAGAGCCCCCAGCATCCAGATACAGAGAAGCAGACTGTCCTGGCTGTGGCCACAGCAGGGCTAAGTTGAAATGAGAAAGGCCTTTAAGGTGTACTATGTGGAAAGGGACCAATCCATGCAGGGAGTTTGAAGTCAAGGAAATGGCTTGAGAGCTGGGACCCGAGTTACTGTCTGAAGGGCTAGGCAGGAAGGTAGAAGAACCTTCCTTCCAAGACAGTCGCCTAGTTCACCCGCAAGCTGAGGGAGGTCTTAAATATTTTATGTGAGGCTAGGAATGGTCAACTGTGGTGTATGTGGGAAGTATGTATATGCAGGCAGACAGTGTTAGATCTTCCAACAGCAGTTATTTACTCTTGTTGAAGCAAACTGCCATTTAGAGTTCACTTGGTGCTTTAGCTGCTGTTTGATATTTCAATTTCCAAGGTTTTAAATGATAGGATGTGCTCCTCACCTAAACTGATCTTAATATGTACTTTGAAGCTGTCTATTGACCACTGGAAATGTAGGTATGGCACAGTTGCTTGTGCTCATATATGGTTTTATGAGAAAAAGTTGCATAGCTGACTCAGTAAAGATTCACTCAGTTATCCTATTACTTCCTCTTAGGTCACATTGTATAATACAAGCCCAGACATTTCTATTTTGTAAACTCTTTGCATGAGCTGGTTTTCTGAGTCAGAAAAAAAAATAAGAAAGTAAAATAAATTACCTTTAAGGTTTTTTATCTTTAATCTATCTATAAAGATCTGCCCCCA